CATATCTGGTAACAGGAAATAATAAGCCAACCTTTAACAAGAAAGAAAAGGGAAAATCGAATGTAACTGGCAAGCGAATGGACTTACCCATAATGGAATGAAAGACAAAACTAGATGTTTCTTCTATAAAAAGAAAGGACACATGAGGAAAGATTGTCCTGTCTAATCCCAGTCCTTGAACAAGTAAGGAAACAGGGGAGCCAAGTGGACCTTGCAGATGTACTTCAGCGGTTCGACTACAACCACATATGCTTGTTAGCATTAGGTTTTGACCCGAAATCTCTATCTACTGAATTTTCAAATGTTTCGAGCAAAGTGGCATCCGAGGAAGCAGGGAAGGCTTTGCTGCATAGGAATATCCTGCCTGTAAGTTTAAACATCGCGGATGATTTTGTGTGTAAGTGTATCTCATTGAAAAGAGAAAAAGTAAGATGCAAAGCAAAGGTGGAAGACAATGATTTCGACTTGTTGACAGCTTTTATGATCGAAGAAGAAGGAGAAATGAGTAGACTCGGAAAATCTGATAAGTTTCCAATAGACACTGCATACAGTTTCATTACAGCAGGCAAGAACACCATAAGCACTGGCCTTTCTTAGTTTTTCTGGCTTATTACAACACATCCATACGTAGAAAGCAAAATTTTTGAAGGTGCATTCCCAGCAAGGAAAGATAGGAACCTGATGCCATTTAGTGGGGAAGAGATGAACAAATTCGTATACCTACATGCAGCCTTGTGTGAAACATTAAAGGGTAGGCCCACCATTTCCCGTCAATGGTAGAACTGCAATTAAATCAGAAGCGGAGATCGTGTTGATGAGGGAGCAAGGATCTTTATTTCTGTCTATTCAATGGGAAGGACGGAAGAAATATGGGGTAAAGATTGTCTAGAATTCAAGCCGGAAAGGTGGATATCGAAGCGTGGAGATCTCATACCTGTACCATCTTACAAGTTCATACCGTTTAGTGCAGGGCTAAGAGTTTGTTTAGGGAAGGACTTGAGTTTCAAACAGATGAAGACAGCGGCAATTAACGTGCTTTGGCATTTCCAAGTTGAAATGGTGGAGTGCCAAACTGTCTTCCCAAGCAATCAGTCCATCGGACTTCACTTTGAAAATGGTTTGAGGTTAGAATCAAGAAAAGATATGTTTGATTGGGGAGTTACAATAATGAAGGATAATGTTGCATTAGGAGCATAGTTTGAATATAATTCAGAATTAAGTTGACCATTGGCTATCTTCATAATGATACATATGCTAGCTATATCATAAAAATGCTGTTATCTCTTGACAACATTGCATAGACAAATATTGAAATTGATTCAATCGTGGGAATAATATTTAAAACGGTCTATTATAACAAAAAATATGTAAATATTTTACACATGATGTAGGAATCATATAGCTTGGTGCAAGTTATTAAAATTGGTAGTAAGACTTTTTTTTAAAGAACATAAATATTCCACCAATTTACATAAGCCTGGCTCTACTATGGGATGTGATTGGTGAAAGATGGAGCGATGCAAGGCCAGTGCGAATGCCATTTGAGCTTTCCATGCATATGGCAGGCTACAGGCAGGGTCAAAAGGTTGTGTTGCTTCGACATACACAAGGCTACGTACGAGAGATTGGTTGATAGCAGCCGAACAACGTCACTTCCTAGATAACATCTGCGTTAATAATTCAGCCCTTGAAAAGGATCAAAGGGAGCACCCCATCTGGTATTGTATAGTAAATAGTGCCTAAACTAAAAGTCAAGGGTAAGAAAAAGAGACTAATCAGTTATTTCTTTCGTCTTCCCAAACAGGCCAGTATTAGCCTAAATGTAACTCATTGTTTAAAGAACTATTTAGATCAATGAGAAGACGAAAAACAAACATTCTCAAGACAAAAGAATCCTTGCAGAAAGAGTATGAAGTGCTTGTTCCCCAATGTCTGGAGTCAGTGCTCAAATAAGAACAGGAAAAGGGAGCATCGCATGCATTTGTCTGAAGATTGCGGGATAAATGATTGAGCAAAAAGTAAAGACAAAAGAAGAAAGCAAATCATAAGATTTTCAAATGGTAATTCAGTAAATTTTTGCCAGTTGCAAGTGGTTGCCCTCACAAGGTATAACGTTCAATAAAGTACAATGCTTCCCCAAAAAAAGGAATTATAAAAGAAGGAAGGTGCTTTGTATATCTACATGACATATGCTTTGTCTGCATTGTAAAATTGTAATTTGCTTCTTTGAAGATAATTATACCCGTTTGTCCCCTGCATAATGTAAAAAATAATAAAATTAACAGGTTAATTAAGAAAATGGCATAGATGGTTTACTGAGACTGAGATATAAAGGAAACTTGCCATACCTGTACTTTTCTATGTATATTAGTTGAGGTCACATTTTCTTTCCATCAATGTATATCTCGGGGATGTGAGCAATCCCTGACCAATTTTGGCTTGTTTTGTTTTGGCATGTATCCATTAACAGTGGACAACCCGAAATTTCCAAGTACTGTAATGCATTCAGAGAGCACAGTGTTTGTGGTAGAGATACCAACTGAGGACAATCAAAGATTTCAAATCTTTGAAGTACAGTCAGATTGCAAATCCATTCTGGTAACCTCTTTAAGTTGGAACAGCTGGAAATCTGTAAATATTTCAGGGTTGTGACATGTTGAAGACCATCAGGGAGAGAACTTAGTTTTGGCATGTCACCAATTTTCAATGTGCGAAGGCTCTTGAGGAATTGCAATTCCATGACATTCTCTTCCACATCGTTTGACATATCAAGTTCCCTGCACTCTTTGATTTCAAGCTCTTCAAGGGCCGTTAGATGTCTAAAACCTTTGGAAAGTGACTTTAGCATGTCACAACCACTAACAAAGAAAAACCTGAGAGAATTCAATCCTTCCTCAGGTAGGCATACCAATTTAGGGCAATTTGCTATGGATAGATGCTGAAGAGATGTAAGATGCTGAAGCCCCTTCTCTGGAAATGACACCAAATCCATGATGCTATCAATATGCATAACCTTCAATTTGGAAAGATATAGTGGATACGACAAATTTGCTGCTGCTGCCATTGGGATTTCTTTTTCTGCTGCTATCATCACTGACTGTTGTAAGAGCTTTGCACTCACGCACTTTAGCTCCAGTTCTTCCAAAAGAGGATGCAATGGCATATATGTCAGGTTAGTGCAAATCCCAATAGTTAATTTTGAAAGAAAAGGGAATGAAGTCATTGATTCCTTCTGCTGCAATGGCCTTTGTGATGATGCTGCTGCTAGGCCAAGATTATCATTAGCAATTGCAGGGACTTCCCTCCACCATCCCTTCAGATTACGCAAGTCAAAAAGCATTAGTTGCTTAAGGCAAGGGAAGAATGCTGTTCCTCCTTTTAACCGATTGCCTCCAAATGATAAAGATGATGACTCAGCACCGCTATCTTCAATGTACTCCACGGCTGTTACCACTTCAAGCCTGAGCCCCCTAAGCTTGGGAAGATGACTGAACAATGGGAGATGTAAGCATCTGTTACATCTCCATAAGGTGATTTCAAGTAGGTTTGGGAGTATCAATGACATGTCAGAAAGCATCCACTTCGGGAAACTTCCTGCTCTATATCCATAAATATGAAACTCTTGAAGATTTGAATGTGGCTGGAGGCCTTCCAAAAATTCTTCATCTTCTTCAAAAGTTGTATGATCATTGACTTCTCGGCTCCATTCTAATGTCAAGACCTCAAGGTGCTGTTTGCCTTTCAAGTTTGCTTCCTTGCATTCTGATACTACATTTTTTAAGTTTTCCAGCTTTGCTATCATTACTTCTCCCCTCAGGTCATTTAGGTCTTTCAATTCCCTTAGACCCCCACTAGGCCTTTTGAAGGAATCCATGCCCACTACGAACCGTGTTAATTTCTGAAGTGAAGTGAGCTGCCCAAGCCCAGATGGCATACGTGTCAAACCGGTGCATTGACCAGTCTCAAGATGCCTAAGACTGGTCATGTTTCTTAATTTTCTCGGCAGCTCTTCTAATCTCTTACAAGAACAGAGTTTCAGTGTCTGCAAATTAAGCAACTCAGTAATGGAACTTGGGAGTCTTCTGATGACTTCATTCTTGGAGAGATCAAGGTACCTCAAATGTTTCAACGTACCAATGGAACTTGGGAGAATGTCAATACCTGTATTATGTAGATCTAATAGACGCAAAAGTCTAAAACTTGAAATGACAGTTTCGTGATCAACCTTGTCCAAAATTACACGATGAACAGGTTGCACAGGAAGAAGAAATGTCCGTATCTTATTCGCTTTGAGCAAGGGGGTCGGGATTTTCCAGGATGAATCTAACTCAGCATTGAATGATACATGCCGAATTCTTTCAGATATGTTTTTACAATCCAGATCTACCATTGAGCTGTCACTCCCTGCGACTAGTTGAGCAAGGTCATGCATGAGATCATGCATTTTGCAACTTATTACGTTGCCCCATTCATCATATTCTACATCTTGAAAAAAGGACCGCCTTAGGAGATCCATGAAATATTGGTCCCCTAATTCCTCAAGACGTTGCATTCCTTGCAGCGATTGGATAAACCCTTCTGCCATCCAAAGTGTGATCAGCATTTGCTTGTTAATTTCATAGTCTTTCGGAAACAAGGAACAGTAAGCAAAGCACTGCTTCAAATATGGTGGCAGCTGTTCATAGCTCAACTTTAGTATGGGTAGGACGTCGTCTTGTTGAGTGATCACCAAAAGTTGGCCCTCTTTCAAAGAGAGCCACTCTGTTTCTGTATCTTTGGTATATAGAACACCTCCTATGGTCCTTATGGCAAGGGGATTTCCAGCACATCTTTTGACAATGTCCTTCCCAATTGCTATTAATCTTGAATTATTTGGCTCTCGCCCTTCTTTAAACGCCATCTTTTCGAACAAGGACCAGGACATGTCCTCTGGAAGACCTTCCAACAGATACGGTTCTGTTGTGCCTGTAATGGAAGCAACCACTTGAGCACGAGTAGTTACTACTATCTTACTTCCCCTTGCACCATTCATTAACAAATCTCTCAAATTACGCCACCTCTCCCGATTATCATTCCATACGTCATCTAAGATGAGTAAATATTTTCTGCCATCAATCCTTTTACGAAGGTGAGTTTGCAAGGAATCCATCTCCAGATTTTCAAATTTTGCATTAGTTGCAGACTCCAACATCTTTTGGGCAATTAATTTCACATCAAAAACATCAGAAACGCACACCCATATTCTCAACTCAAAATGTTTCACAATTTTCTCATCATTGTACACTAGTTGGGCTACAGTGGTCTTGCCTTGTCCCCCTATCCCAAGAATTGGTATGACTGAAACATTGTCCGCCACATCAGAGTCCAACAATCTTTTCATGATGGCATCTTTGTCACCCTCCCTCCCAACTACATCTTCCTTTCGCACGAAAGAATGTGTCTGCTTCCTCTCTACCTTTACAACTGGTATGCTTATAAGGGACCGGTCTGTCAAGTGGTATTTGGTTTTATCTGCAGCTATTGCATCTAGTCTCTGCCTAATGGCCTTGATTTGATGACCTATCTTAAGATTGTAGGCTACTTGGTTAGCTTTCGAAAATAGAAAGCTTACCTGTTTCCCTCTTTTCCCCTGCATCATGACTTGGCGTTGCAAAACATGAGTTGCAAAGTCATCCAGCAAGTCATCTGCATCATAAACTGCATCTTTAAGCTTTCCAAGCCAATCTATAACCTCGTGGCTCCTTACATGCTGCTCCTCTGCATCCAAAAGTACAGCTTTGATGGTGGAAACTGTATTTTTCAGTTTCTCAAGCTCTTCTTTGACACCCCATATCAGTCCCATTTCCTGGAGAGTAAGGTTGCCTAGCTTTCTCAGGATCCCATCAGCTATATTGAACAAAAATGCTTCCGCCATTTCTCTTCACATCCAAAAAAAAAGAAAAAATAGTGTCTAAACTTTTGTGGAAAGAAGAGAGAAGAGATAATCAGTGGTTAATTTGCCAAATCTCATTGCTAATCGCCCAAAAATTTAAAAGGGTTGACATCAATTTCATTAGATTAGCTGGCCATGTGAACATGTCAAGTTTAGGAATTATTTAATCTATCAGGATAACTTGGAAATTTCGGTGCAACTAACGGAAACCCTTTTTTATTTGTAGGCCAGAGAAAGACAGACAAAGACATGCTTGACCTTATTCGCATACTAACTGCTTTCCGATTGTGGAAGATGAGCAGAGAAAAGAAAAAGGACAAGGAATTGGCTCCACTCTCCAGCCGTGTCAAAGTGGCAATCTCCATTCCAAGGCATCGATAGGAAGGATTCAATGACTTGACTACAACCAATTTGCAGGGTTGCTAAACTTAGCTTGGAATCTTGAGACACGAGAAGTGGATACTGCACTTATCAAGCTCATTTATCTATGAATAAACTGGAAATTTTAACGTTTGAATCCGCTGAATTGAACTGTTTATGATCAAAAATTTGTTATCCTTATTTACCAAATCGTTTCTTCTGTTGTCTTGCGGTCCTTCAAGTCACTTCAAATATTATATTCCATCTCGTAGTTTAAAGCATTACACTTTTAATTAATTTGTTACCTAAATGAACCCTTCATGCAATCCAAAGGTTAGCTCACCGGTTGTCAAGCACATGCCTGCTTATTTACATATGTAAACATCATACAGAAGTTGGACCAAAATGTCTAGGTTGTATTTGGACATTAACAATTGATTAAGTAGGTAGGCTGTTAAATTTGGGGTTAAACTTGTCTTCCTAGGCTCATTTGCCAATTACTATTGACTTTTAAAAATCAATATTCAATAAAAAGCTTTGGTTGAAAATTTGTGATTTGAAAACTATTGCTAAAAATTGAAGAAGAATGCACTGCCTATTATAGTCTAATTATTATATTTTATAAATTTTTTCATATTTTCTATATAATTTATATATGTTATTATTTTAATTATGTGATTTCATGCTATATATATATATATATATATATAGCTCATGTAGGTAAGATTTTAACGTATTCATTAAATATATGTTCTAAATTATGCAGATTGGATGACCAGTAATCATGAGAATTATCTATCCTTGGGATTACACATCTTGAATTCTCCATCATGTACAATTTTATTTGCACACAATATAGAGTTTCTTGGCTCAAAATGAAGTAATAAGTCTTTATTTCTTTTCCCATTATCTATAACATAATATAAAAGGAAGATCTAAAAGTACTTCCAAGTTGATCCACGTTGTGGACTTCTTTGAATGACACTTAATTAAATATTATTTTAAGTATTATGATTTATACATATAAAAAATTTTTAGGAGATAAAATGTGACATTGTGATTTGTATATGTATGGAGGGTATTTTGGAATTTTAGTCAAAAGATTGGTATCATTCTTGAATTTGTGTGAAAATTAAGGGTAACTTTGAATTTTAATGTGTAAAAGAAGGGTTCTTTGGGTTTTTCACCACATTTGTTCGGTAGCTCTATATCTAGACTCATTATTATGCCACTGCCAGAGATTATAAAGAAGAAGTTGGTCTTTGACTCTGATAGGTTGGAGAATTGTAATTAATTGTTTGAGTGTGCAATACGTTTGATTTGAATCAATTTTTCTTCCTTCATTGAAAATTGCAGTTCATCTCTATCTATCAATCTTTTTTACTTTGATTTTATCACCTTTACTTAGACTCTTTTTTTTTTTAGATTTTTTTTAGTTGCCTATAAATTTGTTTTTTTTTTTTGTTTCTTTTATCTTTCACTCTTTTGTTTCGCATTTTGTACTGCATTTGTTCTTCGTCTGTTGCTGTTGATTTTGGTTAGTTGCCGAACCGCAAGGACTTTCTTTGTTTTCTTTTAGGCAAGGTAATTTTTAGTTTATTATGTTAGCCTTTTTTATCAGTTTAATTTTGATTTTTTTTAAATGAGTTTTTTATATATAAAAACCTATATCAAATAGTGCTTAATTCATTTGCTATTTAGTTTTTTTCCGCATTTTTAACAATTTAATGTTCATATTAGATATATAAGTTTCACGATTAATTTGTTAATGTTTTTATTTTTTAATTAACATGTCATAAGTTTTGTATCTATTTGATTCTTCTATTTATTATTCATCTTCTCCTATGAAATTGAATCGTTTGATGAAATTTATAGTAAGACTTAGCTTCTTTTCGCATTTAATGTTTCAAAGCTGAATTGAATATTCATCTTTTTATCAGAATTATCATTAAAATTAAAATCACAAAAACAATTAGATGTTACCTTAATTACCATACAAATCAAATAAAAAACAACAAAAAGAAAAACTAAAACAATAAAACAATTGACTGAAAGAAACAATTTCCTCAACCCAAACTCTTAATCCCACTCTTCAAAAACCAAACCCCAGATTTTCGGAGTCTTCATTTTTCCATGGTTAAAACTTTGTATCAACCCAACAATAATGACTTTTTTTTCCTTTTTTTTAAAGCTGGGTGTGTATTGCTATAAAAATTTTGACAAAAAATTTTTACCAGAAGATAGATACATAACAACTCTTCACCTCAATAGTGGACAATACAAATTCAGAATTACAACTAGAACAACATTTTAAAACCAAGATTTTCAAAGCTTTTATTTTCCCATGGTTAAAACTTTACATCAACACAACAACGACTTTCTTTCTTTTTTTTTTTGTAGAGCTAGGTGTGTATTGGTATAAAAATATTGACTAAAAATGTCTATTGGAAGAAATATACATAATAAACTGTTCACTTCAACAGTGAACAATACAAATTCAATATTACAACTAGAACAAAAATTCACCTTATCAATCCCTTGTACAAAAATTCAACTTACTGCACACCCAAATAATCAAGTTA